GCTTCGCCTGAGCCCAGCTTAAACCTATCTGGAGAGGCTTGGGTACCTGCATGGTCAGCTAGACCCTGGCGCATTGAACATCCATCTTGAAATTGGATGTCAAAAAATGGTAATCCCATCAAAATTTAAAATAGCTGGTGTTAAAACTATATCAAAATGAAATTGTATAAAATGTATAAAATGAGACTGTTTATTTTTGGTATAGAGAGGTCACAATTACTTACAACCATCCGACGTAAATTTTGATAATTTGCATGTATCACAAAGTTCGAAAAAAATACTTTTGAACTTTAAGCTCGGTCTACCCAATTTCTTACCAAATGATAAATACTTGTATAAAAGATAAATGGTCTACCTATATACTCCCTATAAATTAAAAAAAAGTCCTCCTCAGTGTAAACCTGTGTTTCCTTGGCCAACCTGTACAAAAAGCAAACTCTCACAAAATCAGAAGGGTTGCTTCAAAGTTTTACTTTGATAAAAAAACCACAAGAACATAAAGAGGTGGAGTGATTTTTCTCATGGGTTGGGTAGAAGTTAAAATAATATTGTTCTTTATTTCCACAGGAGCATACTATCTATTTACCTCCTCGAGTAAAAAACCAAGCCTTTATTTCCGTGACCCAATTTTGTTGATGCATCCTATTCGACCTAGTAACCAATTTAAAAGAGGTGGGGAGGGGAAATTTTTTCAAAGCCTAAACGAAATAATGTCCTAAAATTGAACATGGATTGTCAGATCTAATTATTAAATAACTCAAATTTTATTTTCTTTTTCTTTTTCGTTTTTTTTTTTTAGTAAAAATAATCTGCTTTTGAGTCTTAAGAGGATCCATGTGCTCCACATCTAGAATCTTTCTAAATAGTTTTTTTTCACCTGAGAATGAAAGAGAACAGCATGCTCCCATGGGAGCACAACATTGGTGCAAAAAATTAAGTTCATTAACATTAACATTTAAAATATGACTATTATTGATTCCTAGAATGGTTGTTGGACTCATAAAGATTGGGCCCGGCTACCGGCATTACTTTGCCACTTGCATTATTCATCATGCATGAATTTCTTCCAAAATTAATATGTGGGGAATGTGGTAGCCACCAAACAAAAGTGCATTAATTAACTCCCACATCTTGATATGCTTAGGGCCTCCTGACAATTAATTTTATCTTTTAAATTAATATCTTATGAATAATATTATTTTATTATTTATTTGGTATGTATTCTATATTACACATAATATTATTTAAATATAAGTATTTTATTTTTAATGATTTTCAACTATTTTTAGATACTTTTAGCAAAAAATGCGTAATGTTTCACAAATTACTCCGTATAAAGTAAAAATTGCTTCTCAAAATAATTAACCTCTATATAAAACTACCTATGAATTTACCTCACATAATTTTATGATCGACATAGCCAAGCAACACGTAACGCAATATCATAATTAATTTTACTGAAACTGTGAACTATCGGTAAAAACGAATACATCCAACCAGGCTGTAAATATCAGAAATAAATGTTTTTTATCTATAATTCATTTGAATAATGAGAAGGTTTTGTAGTAGTATAGGAAGAATTGGCTGGTCGAACTCGAAACCGACCAAGTTAACCAAAATCAGGCATTGGCCGAGTTCAGCTTCCCCCAGCTCCGAGGTGCTACTCAAGGATGGGTTGGACTGAAAGTTGGACTATGTGATCAAGTACGGTGTCTGTAAATTAAAATTTTTCTTATTTTTCTTATTCTTACACCAGCAAAACCACTCACAATGTCTAATTACAAATAAATAACTCGAATAAATAAAACAAAATAGAAACACAGTTCTCACTTTGCTACCACTATTGAATACAACTCATTAAATCAAAACTTTAACTCATTGCTTTATGCGAATAGAAGAGCTCAACGCAAAGTAAAATTTAACGAAGTAAAATTGCCGGAGATTATCTCAACTGGGCTTAGTACAACCCACGTCGAGTCTTCTTCTTTAGTGCTTGAGATTAATGATCGGTCTCTTGATTCTCCTATTCGTGGGAAAACCCTCTCAAAAGCATATAGATCTTGATCTAGAACCAACAACCGAAGGCTTCAATGCTTTAGTCTTACTCAAGCCACTTTGGCTTGATCTTTAGAGAGATGAGAAATAAAAATCAAATAGAAAGGGAGGGATCTATTAGCTAGGAGGTGCTCCCCTTAGCCATTCATAAATCAATAACCAATCCCAAGTTAGAGCGTGCCCCTTAGGACCCACAAGAGAGAGAGAGAAGATAGCTTGGGTGTGCCCCCTTGGGAATTCGAAGAGAGTAGTCTTGGTTGGGGCATGCCTCCTCTTGAAACTTAGGGAGAGAGAGAGATGAAGTCCTAGGTTGGGGCGTGCCTTTTTTAGAATTCTGAGAGAGAGAGAGAGAGAGAGAGATAATTCTTAGATAGAGAAAAGAGAATTGGTGTAAGATTTATGAAGTGGAAGAGCCTCATTTTATAGATTTTCTGTGCCTTAGGGTTTGCCATGATTTTTATGATCAAATATTGACCGTCGATTTAGGGAGACTTGTGGGGTGAGAGATGTAAGTCATCCATTCTTTTGATTCACCATCAAAATTAAAAAAAAAGTGCTAAAACCTTATTCTCAATTTCCTATCAAATATTTAAATAAGAAAAATATCGCTCATACTTTCTTCATGAAAATGTCCATTCCTTATTTATTCAAATTGAATAATCAAAATTCCTTAAATCTTAAAAACATTACCAAAACACTATCTTGATTATCAAGCCAATGTTGGTTTGAATAAAATAGAAAGAGTTGGTAGCCTTGAGTGGGGCGTGCAACCCTTGGTTGCCTTATGTTGCCCCACTCCAAATGTTAAGTACATAAAATGCTAATATTATGCTCCCTCGAGAAGATAGTATAAATCTACTCCCTTGGTCAAACCAACTCCAGACTATTTTTTTTCTATAGCACTTAGATCTCATCCTCTAAAAACTTAATGGTTCCTATTCAATCTTGAGACATTATTTTTTTCAAATACAAACGGGTGCAATTCGGTATTCTTTTTATATTTATTGAGGTTACTCTGTGGTAAAAAAGGTGACAACCCCAAAATACTTGGTCCTAAGACTAATCCTAAGGCAAATTTTATCTGTGGGAGTAAATGAACAGTATACTTCTCATGAAGTGTAATAGTTTTTGGCATATACTCAATTAAAGTAATTTAAATGAAATGTAAATGACTTTTCATTGACTTCCTGATCCATAAAAAGGAGAAAAAGTGATAAAAACTTGAGACTGTGCAACTTCTCCTTGATGCATTCATTCCACCTACTCGGAATGGGAGGGCGTTATGAGGCTTCCATACATGCATGCAATAGTGAAATTTTTCTACATCATGTCCAATTTTTTTATACCAAACTTACCCAATATTTATAGGTGAAGAACATAAAGAGGTGGAGTGATTTTTCTCATGGGTTGGGTAGAAGTTAAAATAATATTGTTCTTTATTTCCATAGGAGCATACTATATATATTTACTCCCTCGAGTGAAACGTAACCTTTATTTCCAGGACCCAACTGACAGCAAAGAGTGACGTTTATAGTTTTGGGGTCATTTTACTCGCACTCCTTACTGGGGAGCGGCCGATTTCCTTTGAAAGATCAAAAAGCGGAAGCCAACCTTGCGAATTACTTCCTAATGACTGTGAAAAATGGGCATCTTGAGGAGATTTTGGAGAACGATGTTCTAAGAGAAGGCAACATTCAGCAACTGCGAGGTGTTGCAGACCTGGCTGTGAAATGCCTGAGACTGAAGTGGGAAAAAAGGCCTACAATGAAAGAGGTAGTGCAAGAGCTTCTCTGGCTCAAAGGTTCAACACAACATGCATGCATGGCTACAACAAAACGTCCAAGAGACAGAGCATTTACTCGGATACGATCCATCCTTCCCGTGCGACGGAGTAACAGGATGCTTGCACATCAATGTAGGGGCCCTTGCCATAGAATCTGGCCGATGACCATCTTACTGTTGATGGAAATGACTACGGCCAGGTTTGGTTCATGGGAAATTTCTCTCCGAGACAGATTTCATTAACCAACCTGCTATCTCATGTTTGTTGAAAAACTAAATTCATGGAAACAGGTGACTACTTGTATTTCTTTAGCATGTAAATAGGGTTCATAATGTTGAAATGTAATTTGTCTTCTCGTTCTCGTTCTCGTTCCTTCTCTGTAGATAATAATTCTTAAGACCCGGTTTACCTAAACCAACCCGGGTCCTATTGGATCTCACTAGTGTCCAAGGCCTGCTAGGTTAAGGTGCCGAGATTGGGTCTGCTTAGGCTCGGTGTGTTTACTGCAACAGTCGATGGCAGTGTTTGAAGCATTTGCATCGAGCTGGCACATACAGAAAGAGTAATGATCCTATGAGACCCTCCCAAACCCATGGGTGTAGGATCTCAAATGATCCCATCCCATTAAATTTGGTTAAGATCTCTAGAAAAGTCAAGTCTCACACCCGTGATAACTTTTCTAAAGATCTGTGCAATATTTAATGGTGATCTTTTGAGATCCTACACACATGGGTATAGAAATGTCTCATAGGATCATTACTCTATACAGAAATACCCGGACGAACAATAATCTTAAGGAAAAAAAAATAATACTGAAAATTATCAAGACTTATATGGTTTGTCAAATTTGACTTAGTTGATCATTAAAAGCATAAAATAAATATAGTCCTTCATTTTTGTGCCCACACACGTGGTTGGATGGCGATGATGATGAAAGGGCGATTCTCAAAAGCAAAGAGGAAAAACTCGTACGCATGATAACTAGCAGGTGAAGGAAAAAAAAAACGAAAAAGGACAAGAACAAAACGTGTGGAAAAGTAACAGAGAGAGAGAGACACTGTCTTCTTGACCGACTCATTCTCTCTTTTAGCAAGAGCACAATTGACTTGCTAGTCGCCCTATAAATAGACCCATTGCAGGATCAAGAACATGGGAAGCTTTGATGGTAAATGAGAATTGGGCATGAGTAGTTAGTAGCATTCCTACCGCTCAGCAAAAATTTTATTTTGCTAAAAGCAAACCAGTTTTAGCAGGCAAAAGTTATTACAGATTCCAAGCGGATTTAAAGTGCGGGTGCCCACTAAATATGAAGTCTCTAGGCTGCAGCTGCACATGGAGGGAGCATTCGAAAAATGGTGTGTGGCTGTGGGCCGTGGTGGTGCTTCATGTCAGAGCCTTTGGTCTCATTGCGTTGGCGAGCATGGCAAAGCCGGGCTGCGAGGAGCGATGTGGAGATATGGAAATTCCATACCCTTTCGGGATGGGTGACGAGGGTTGCTTCGTGGAGGGCCTCGACATAACCTGCAATCGCTCCGTCGTGCCCCCAAAGGTCCTCTTAGGAAAAGGAAACCTTCAAGTGCTCAACATATCGCTCGCGAACGCTGAGGTCCGAGTGAACAACACTCGATCACTTTCCTACAGCTGTTACAATGGAAACAGAACTAGCGGCTATGTGACACTCCCGGAAAATCTACCTTACACTTTTTCAAATAAGACTGTGTTCACTGCCATCGGGTGCGACACCGTGGGCTATGTTACTGATAATGATAGCTTCACCAGCGGGTGCGTTTCTCAGTGTATGAACCGAAGCACCGTGGTGAACGGGTCGTGTAATGGAATCGGGTGTTGCGAAACAACGTTGCCCAAGCACAAGAACTACCTCCGTGTGTCTGCTACTAGTTTGAGCAACTACACATTGAGTAAGGAGTACAGTTGGTGCTCCTATGCCTTCCTCGCAGAGCGAGAGAGCTACAATTTCAGAGGAACGGATCTTCGACTATTCCTGAGCAAAGCAGATCTTGCAATTGTGCTGGATTGGGAAATAAGGAACGGAAGCTGCCTGTCGACTGCGAATTCTTCAAGTATTCCACATGTGTGTGGGGAGAATGCGGAGTGCTTTGATTCCGAGAGGGGCATCGGGTATGTGTGTCGTTGCATCAGGGGCTATGAGGGGAACCCATACCTCAGTGGAGGATGCCAAGGTATGGACTCACTCTCTCTTCCTCCTCCCCCTCCCTTTCCAAACTAAAACCCAACTCTGCTCGACCCGCGGCTAAGCCCGAATCTCAGATACTTGGTCGAGTCTAAGTGGACTCGGCCTAATAGATTATTTTTAAGAAAAACTGCAAAAAAATCCCAACAAATGGGAAAAAAAATTGGTAAAAGATAAATTAGGTTGGGGAGAGAGCATTCGGGAAGAGTGAATTTCCACTCGCTTTAGAGAGAAAGATATGAATAGAGACGAAAAAAATTGCGTAGAATTGGACCCTTAGAGAGAGATGAAAGGAGGGGCAGATCTGCCCCTCTTTTAAAGAGAGGGAAAAATAGGGTGGATCTACCCCCTTCTAGTGAGAGAGGGAGAAAAAGTTCTAGGGTGCCCTAGAATTCACCTCAGCCATCACCAGATAATAGCCCAAATTTTCCAAAAATATATTTTAGATCAAAAAATGTCGCTATTGATCTTGTTTTGTATTAGGAGACTAAGAAAGTAAATGTGGAGACTAGGGTTTTAAAAAACGTCGAATCGAGCCGGACTCGCTCGGTTCGACTTGAGAATCGCCACAGAACGAGCCGGTTCCACATATAAAACGGGAACCGCTCGTGTTTAGAGAGAACGATCCTCTTCCACACATAAAACGGGAATCGCCCGTATTCAGAGAGAACCAGGCGGTTTTAAATAGTAAACATCCCGATGACATCATCAACCGGCGGTTCTGACATCACCACTCCGACACATCCCGCCCGTGTTTAGAGAGAAACGGGCGGTTTATCGTTTCCCGCCAGTGTTCAGAGAGAAACGAGCGGTTTTAAACGATAAACCGCCCGATGACATCATCAACCGCCGGTTGCACATCCTGCCCGTGTTTAGAGAGAACCGGACGGTTTAAACAGTAAACCGCCCGATGACATCATCAACCGGCGGTTTTGACGTCACCACTCCGACACATCCCGCCCGTGTTTAGAGAGAAACGGGCGGTTTTAAACAATAAACCGCCCGATGACATCATCAATCGGCGGTTCTGACTTCACCACTCCGACACATCTCGCCCGTGTTTAGAGAGAAACAGACGATTTACCGTTTTCCGCTCGTGTTTAGAGAGAAACGGGAGGTTTTAAACCGTAAACCGCCCAATGACATCATCAACCGCCGGTTGCACATCCCGCCCGTGTTTAGAGAGAATCGGGCGATTTTAAACAGTAAACCGACAGTTATGACATCATCAATTGGCGGTTCTGATGTCAAGTTCTGACGTCATCAACCGGCAGTTCTGACGTCACCACTCTGACACGTGCAACAAGCAGACACGTGCGACAAAATCACGTGTGAGGTTGCCCCAATATTTCCGCACGAATACCTTAGTTCATTTTACATAGGTATTTATAGACCAAAGTTAAATACTCATCTTTCGATATGGGATAATTCCCAAACATCATTAAACGAAAACGGAATGTAAATATATTCTATTAATCAGCAACTTATGATCACATGCGGCGAGATAACGGGATGATTATGACATTTGCTACTTCACTTGACCTCCCAAGGTCGAATCCCCATGGGCGTTGCATTTTTGATGTATATAGTGGTATAAATAATTTTTTAAATAATATAAAAGGCATAAAAAAATATTTTAATATAAAAGGCATAAAAAAATGAAAAATAAAAAAGTTAATTTTTTGTATAGCAGTTAATTTTTGTTGTATATAGTGGTATAATTATTTTTGTAAATAATATGAAAGGCATAAAAAAATAAAAAATAAAAATTTTATTCTATTTGAAATCTCCATCTTTCTACTAACAATCTCTTTCACTAAATTTATTATAAAAACCTAAAAAAATAAATTTTTGAAATATTGAAATGTTATTTCCAAAATTTGTACGCATTTTATTAATTTTTACATTGATAACCAAATCTTTTATTTTATTTATTAAATTTTACATTATAAATCATGTAATGTACTATTTTTCTTACAGTTGTCAATAATACATTTTAAATTAGATAATATTATAAAATATTTTTAATTTGATATTATTTGTCTAATAAAATAATTATAAAATGTAAACTAATAATTATAATTTCAATATATAATATTATAATTAGTTAGGTTGTACTAATTTTGGATTATAGTTAGTTAGGCTGTAATAATTTGGGTTTTTTTAGCGGATTAGGGTTTTTCGCCAAAACGAGATTTTAATGGCCATTCTTTCATTGATTTAGTCTACTCTTTACTATAGTCCATGTATAATTATATATTTTATCCATGATAATTCTATGATTTTTCTTTTATGTGATGCAAATTTAATACTTAAGTTTATACACGAGCATCTCAATATTCATAAATTGATAGAAAAAAATAAAAGTTAATAATGTAGTAACCTCTATTT